AACTCCCACTTAGATTGAGCTCCATCTAAGATTCACTTATTTATGCATCATTCAGTTCTGCCACCTCTGTAGCTGCTTCCTTAGAAACTGTGATAGTTTCTGGCTCTTGTGGAAACGTATTGCTTTGAATTTCATTTTGGGGTCACTGAATCAGTGATGACTTAAAAGAACATAACATGGGTTTCTCATGCAATTTTACCTTTAATCTGATTTCAGGAAGAATTGAATTTTAAAAATTCACTTTCAAAATATACATATTTAACTCTATGGGAAATTATTTGTGATTCAGTTTTATATATCTTTTTCTCATTTACATCAAAATGTCTCCTTTCACCAGTCTTCAACACAAATTAGTGTTCATTAAGGCTTATTTCTTTGGGGTGAAGAATGATATCACATTTAACAAGAAGTCTGTAATTACTATGTCACACATTTGAAATTACAAATAGGGTAATCCTATAAAGCAAATCCAAACTGTTTTAACTTACTTTTTCATGTGTAATTTTATAGTGAAATAAAGGTTGTAAGTGCAAATTAAGAATATTGGGTTCAAGAACACTTAAGAAATCATCTTAGAAAATAAAGAGTATTTATTTTTCTGATCTTTGTAAATATCAAAGTTCACCGTAATTTTATCCCAGTGGACCCCTATTAAGTAATTTTATTTCAGTGGATCCATGGTTAACTAATCCCCCTTCTATGGAAAGAAGGAAAAAAACAAACTAAAAGATAAATTATATTAAATTGGATTTTTAAAATTTATCCCTTTAGGGCCATATTACCTATCAAGCTTCATAGTACTTACGTATATTTCTCAGTATCATTTGAAATTGTTGGGATCTTGACTTTAGGATGGTTCTAATGTCTAAAGTACTAGCTGGGTGCTGGTGGCTCACATCTGTAATGAGCTAAGCTCTGCTGATTTTGGTTTAAAACCAGACTGTGCAGGAAAGTGCATGAGACTTATATTTCCAAATAACCAGCAAGAAGCCAGAAGTGGAACTGGGGCTAAAGTGGCAGAGTACTAGCCTTGAGCATAGAAACGCAGGCCCTCAGTTTAAGCACTAGGAACAGGAAAGAGAGAGGGAGAGGAGAGCTAGATAAAATTTCAGAGTGCTCAAAGCATTTTGTACATACCACTGTAAAATGTGTATTTTTTTGTTCCTATCTCTCAAAAAAAACCCAGGATGTATATTAAATAAATTTTAAGGGGAAATATTACATGCACATAAATTTTCATCCTTTTAAAACAACTACACAAGGCATGAAAAAAAGTAAGTACTCTGATCGGTGATCTATTTCTTCATACTTTTAGTATAGGTGAAAATGAAGACGAAAAAATTGTCATTTGCTGGAAGTTAACAGTACTCAAAATTTTTGAAAAGGTATCTAGATAATATTAGCACACTTAAAATAGGAAAAATGGTCTAACAAGAACTTGGCATATGTAAGTATATATTAGGAGGAGGAAAAAGAGGGAGAGATTAATTTAAGAAATAAAGTTAATAATTTGGATCAAATAAAATCGTTCTTGATAATAATAATTGAGTAAGGGCTGGGAAGGTGGCTCAGTGGTAGAGCGCTTGCCTTGCATGCATGAGGCCTTGGGTTCCTCAGCACCACATAAGCAAAAAGAAAAAAAAATAATTGAGTAAAAATAAAACTTTCCAGAATGTATTATTTTCACTGCTAGTTGTTATAAACTTTAACTTCTAATACAATTCATGTTTTTTTTTTATAAAAATCTGCTTGGGGTTCACACATGTCTTAAAAAACAAGATGTCCTAAATATTTTTATTGAGAGTAAGTACTTACTCCACCAAAACTTTTCCAAATTTTACAAAATTGTTCCATAAATATATTTAGTATTTTGTAATTCTTCAGTTACTTGTTTCTTAAAATCAATGGAAATTAGAACTTTGAGATCCCTAAGATCTTAAAATCTTTTGTATTATAAACTTTGTTTTCTTATACCTCCAAAAACCTTTGAATCTTAAGCTTTGCTTAGAAAGTTTACTTGACATTCTGAATATATTAGAGCACCAGTCTACCAAGAATTCCTACATATTAGCTTAGAAGCAGGATCTATCATGACTAGCAGGTTTAAAGACATGGAGATTCTAGTCAGGCACTGCACCTGTAAGCCTACCTTTTTAGGGGGCTGAGATCTGAGGATTGCAGTTTGAAGCCAGCCCCATCAGGAAAGGTCTTGTTATCTCCAATTAACCAGCAAAAAAAGCTGTAAGTAAAACTGTGGAAAAAGGGATAGAGTGCTAGCTTTGAGTGAAAAAGCTCATAGTGCCCAGGCTCTGAGTTCAAGCTCTACTGGCAAACACCCCCAAAAATGCCTTCCTTGACTATCACAGATTTTGACCAAAGAACTAATCAATTATAATACAACATAATACACACATATATAACCACATTTTTAAAAATTCTATACTTTGAATGGAAAGCTTTTTGAATTAGTGTGGTAGTAGGATTGAACTTTCATTACTTTTACTATGTAAGATATACCAATAATTAACATAAAACAGGAAAAGCATTCTAACTAATTCACTTAAAAGAACTTTATGTATCCCTAACTGGGAAAAAGACCAAGCAATGAAATAGAAGGGGGGAAAAGGCTCTCTAAGCCGCTTAAAAAACAATGTCCCCGCACAAAGGTCACACTTTTTCTAAGGGATAGTCCCCTCAAAGTACCTATTTATATACCCTGGAGACAGTTTTTGCACAAGTTTCATTATGTGGTTTTCTTGCCTGCAGATTAAAAGCAGTAAATTAAAAGGGTGGGGAGGATAATAGAACTATGTTCACTGACAGCAGTTAAGAAGCAACAGCTGACAGTGAGGAGACAGGCAAACTAGAACAGAACAATAGAACTAAAAAAGCAAAGCTATTCAGAGCCATGTTAGTGTGAGCTAGAAGTAACCACCATTGTAGGAACAGAGGGCTTTATCTGTAAACGCAGTTAAGGCGAATACTGTGAATCTCGAGTTTAACTGCTGTTGGTCACCAGCAGTGCCATTTGTCCACTACCCTCTCGGGTTGTGAACAACCTTTGAACTTCAGCCCTGTGGCTACCACTATTCACTACTGTAACTCGTTATTTTAAGAAATATCCATGAGGTCACTGAAGGGCAGCATAGTATCACTCTTACATCCATTGTTCCTGAAATGTCTACCTAGAATTTCATGGAAAGTTACGTTAAACTTAAACTTTTTTAAGAAAAATTTAGGACTCTGTACTTGTTTTTTTTTTTTCTTCTTTTCCCGAGACGATTACCTACAGAATAGTACTTGTCGGGATTAAATGAAGTCATGTATGTGTGATAGTGTACAAAGGTTTGGGGGACGCAGAAAGAGAACTCGGGACTATTTTACCAGTGGTGGTTATTTCACGCCAACCCCAATCCTTTATTTGCTGGTGCCAAAACATAAAAATAAATGAGTAAAATGAAGCTTCAGGAGATGGCACTGACTTCCTGAGGCTGCGCTTCCAGTGTCATTGTCTTGGATCGGCTGCCCAGGGGCAGGATGTTGGCTTTTGGGGGTGCTGCTGGAGCCGGGCAGGGGGGCGACGTGTCAGAGAGTGGGAACCCCTGGCATCCCCGGGGTGTGTGTGTGTGTGTGTTCCAGATCCCAGGCACAGAACACCAAACGGACACAACCCAACTCATCACCGACGTCTCCACGCGGCTGCAAAGCCTGGGGCTACCCGGAGGCGGCCCGGGGCCCAAAGGTGGGACTGGGATCCCAGCTCCGTCTACTTTCATGGGGGGGGGGGGGTGAGGACGGGGGGGGGGGGGGAGGCTGGAACTTTCCTCGGAGGGCAGGACGGCCGGCGGGTCACCCCCCCCCCCCCAGCCCGCTGCGGCCCGGGCGCGCGGGGCTCCCCAGCCCGGGGTCCTCCTTCGGGAAGGAGGGGCGCTGGAGGCAGGGAGGCCTCGGACCCCGGCGGAGGCCCGGCCCGCCCGCGGGACCGGGAGGATCCCGAGGCCCGCCCGCGAACCGCTGCGCCCCCGCGCCCTGCTCCAAGATGGCGGCGGAAGCGGTTCGCTCGCCCGCGCGCGCCGCCGCCGGCGCTCCGCTCCCCGGAGCCGTCGCCTCGGCCGGCCCGAGCCGGCGGGAAGAGGGGCGGCTCGGGCTCCCCCCACGGAGGGTGTGTGTGTGTCGGAGGGATAAAGAAACCGGGGCTGGGACGGGTGGCCGGGCCCCGGAGCCGGAGCGAGCCGTCCCCGCCGGCGAGCGCCTCAGCCGCCCGGAGAGGGGAAAAAGGAAAAAAGGAAAGAAAGAGAACAGCGGCCCATCCGGGCCCTCCGCTCGGCCCGCCCCGGAAATGACGTACGTGCCAAGGGGGTGGAGACTGCCCTACAAAGTGATCCTGCCCCCGCCCCCCCGCTCATCCCGCCCCCAGCTTCACTCCGGCAGCTTTTCAGCGCGCCACCGACTGCCGCCCATGGCAGCGCCCCGGTTCCGCAGGAGCTGCGCCCAGACTCTCCTCGAGGTCCCCCGTGTCCCTAGCAGCCCCCCCACCCCCCACCTGCAGAGGACGCGGGGTGACCTCCAGCCCTCCGGCCGAGTCCCTCCGCAGCCCGACGCCGGAGTCCCGTCCCGCTCAGCAGCGCCCCCTCCGGTCGCCAGAGTCGGGACGCCGTGTCAGTCACTGGCGCCGGGCCCGCCCCTTCCGGCGGCCGCCCGGGCCCGCCTCCTCCCCTCTCTTCCCTCCCCTCACCCCTCCCCTTGTGAGTGTCTCCCTCTCCCTCTCGCTCCCTCTCTCTCCCTCTCTCTCTTTTGTGAGTTATAGCAACCGTTGCCTTGTGAATCAAGCGCCATAGTCACCGTAGTCCTGGCGACTGTTACCCATCAACAACAACTACTCCTCTCCTCCTCCTCCTCCTCCTCCTCTTCCTCCTCCTCCTCCTCCTCCTCCTCCTCCTCCTCCTCCTCCTCCACCTCCTCCTCCTCCTCCACCTCCTCCTCCTCCCCACCACCACCATCTCCATCACCCACCAACAACACCACAATAATCCACAGCCAAGGTGAATATGCTTCGGTCTCTACATGTGTGTGGGAGCGTGTGAACGCGTGTCCGTGTGTCCGTGCGTGTGTGCAGATGCCGTGTGTCTGTGTGTGTGTGCGCGCGCGCGCGCGCGAGCGGAGCGCGGCTGTGCGGGGTCTCCCTCCTGACACCGGCGGCCGCCGCCGCCGAGGGGCTCGGCCCCCCCCCCCCCCGGGCTTGTTTACGATGGACCCTGCGCGCCGCGGCGGGGCCGGGGGTGTGGGCGCCGCGCGCCCGCCGCTCTGCGCCCGCCGCCCCGCCGGCCCGGCCGGGCCCTGGGCGGCCGCACTTCGGGGATGCGGCGGGAGCCGGTGGTGGTGGTGGTGGTGGTGGTGGTGGGGAGGGGGGGGGGAGGCTGCGATCCGAGCGGGAGAGGGAGCCCCAGCTTTCCGCTGCGGATGCTGGCTGTGCCCCCCCCACACCACCCCGTCCCCAAGCTCCCCCTTTTAGGTCTGGGGGTGAGGAAGAGGGTCAGGTGAAGAGAGAAGGGTATTTTTTTTTCTCTTTAATTTCCTCTTCTCGCTTTCCGATCGGGGCAGGGATCGCGGGGTGCACGGGCGTGTGTGCGCGCGTGTGTGTGCGGGGAGGCGGTGGTGTGTGGTGCTGGTGGTTCACTTGTGGGGCCTTGTTTGGGGTTTGGTGGGTGGTTTTTTATTTTTTTTTTTCCTTCTCTTTTTAATTCCCTGTCCATGGGTGAACTTTTCCCACCGTTGATTCCTTCCTCCTCCTTTCTTTCTTTTCTCTTTCCCCCCTTTTCTGACTGGTGCTCAGTGGGCTCTTTGAACCATCAGCTTCACGGGTTCCTTTTCTTTTCTTTTTTCTTTTAAAACTGTATTTTCTTTGTGCAGCAAACAGTCTTAATATCCACTCAGCACTCTGCACCCCCCCCCCTTTTCCCACTCCCCCCCCATCCCTGGGACACACATTGAAACTGGGGGGGCTCTTCGTTGGGCTCTTTTGCACTGAGAGATTGTGTTTTTTAAAGTCAGTCTCTGTCTCTCTACCCCCCCCACTTCTCCCTCCCCCCCCCCGCCTTTTGGGGTGTGTGTGTGTGTGTGTGTGTGTGTGTGTGTGTGTGCTTGTGCTTGTGATTTAAACCGGATACGGGGCATCTGTGATACTTGGGTTGGTAGTTATTGACAGGGCTTTATCTTTCTGGTGGAGGACGTCGGGGGGCGGGGGGAGTCGTGAGGTTCCGTTTCACTTTGATGAACCTCCCTCCCTCCCCACGGCAGAGTGTTAAAACAATTTTCATTGTGGTTTCGAGACTTCTTGTTTGATGATCAGGGAAAAGACACAAGGAAGCTTTGTTGAGAACTCAGTTCACAGTGTAGTCTGACAGTTGTGGTACTTTAAGAGTTTCTTTTTTTTTTTTCTTCTTCTTCTTCTTCTTCTTGTTTCTTTCATTTCTGTGCCTTTCCCTCTGAGAGTTGAAATTGAAGTCAAGTTGTTCATAAAGAATGTATGAAGCTTCTCAACTTGAAACGTGTGTATATTTCACTTTCTTTGTGCTTGTTCAGATCTAGGCATGCCTGTACTTAACATATTCTTTTTATTTACTTTTTGGTTTTCTTTGGACAGTGACTTAAGCCTGCTCAGAAAAGAGAACTCCTTTTTAAAGTCTTTCTTCCAAGGAAATGTTTTTCTCTGTAGATTTGAATACTTAACCAGTCCTCATATATACTAGTACCCTTGATTGGAGTTAACCTGGTTTTACAAATCCCGTAATTGTGTTCAGTTTTCAGCCTTTCAATTAATAGATTTTCAGTAATTAGAGTTCTGGTAATGAATATGTGCTGAAACAAATACAGTTGCACTTACTGAAGTTTCTAATTCAGATTTTTTAAAAAACTTATGTAAATAGTCTTCTTTCTAACAGCAAACATATATTGATTTAACTGACAGAGCAGCCTGTGAATAATTTGACAGTATTAATTATTCTCGAGATTGTCAATGAACAGGTTGGATAATTATAATGCTATTAAGGCTAGTATTTTGTAAAATAAGAGCTGGGGCTTTGAAAAAAAAAGCAACTTTTCTTCTTTGAATTCATTTCCTTGTGATTGCCATTATAAATGAAGAAGATATTTTACTCTAAAAGACTTTCTCCTATCACTCAGACTTTTTTTTATAATTATTTGTTCCCTCCCCAACCTGCATTCAAAGCAAATCTTTAATACTAACTTGTATTTTTTCCTTCTGTTCAGATGATTGTCAAATGCCTGAACACTTTTGGATGGTGAAGCTCCTGGGTCGTATAAACTCTCTCTGAAGTTAATAGGAGTTTTGCTGTCTTGGGATAGTTTAGGTCTTATGCCATTTGCATAATAAGGTTGCAATCTGGTAGTGTATATATGCTGTAATGTTGTGGCTTAATTTACTTGCTGTACAAGAACATTATTGAGGCATTTCACTCATTAATGTATATCTTAGGTTTCCTAAAATTTAGATATTCATTTTTAAGTTGATTTGAGAGCAGAACTTAAATTGAATTTTATTTCTTACTAATTTTAAAAGCTTATATGCATTATAAAATTTGCTTTGCATAATTATTCACACAGATCCGTTAAATAATATTCCAGAATTCTCTCAAGTAATATTTAAAGTTAAACAGAAGTATATATGCCTAACATCCAGCTCATTTTTTTTTTTCTGTAATATTGTGCTTTTCCTAGAGGGGCTGTCTCATGTCTGGATATTTTTTGTTTTCAATTTTAAGACTAACAGGAATCTGTGAAAGTGATCATGCTTTGAAACTGAAGCTATTAAATAGTAATTTGTTTTGAGCAGCTAATATCTGTAATTCAATGTGTGTTATAATGCCTATTAGTCTTTAGGGTTGTTTTGCCCGTGAACTTTATTAAGCAGTATGAGGATAGTACATTTACATACATGTAGGAATCGAATTAATCCCTAAAAGTTTACATCGTTTTGCAGTGTTTCCATTGAATGGAGGCTTGGAGATAGTTATGCCTAATTTCTAAAAGAATAATACTGTACTGTTCTTTCACTATTCAAATACTTAGAAACTAAATCATCAATAAGCTCAATATATTTTAATCATCTCTTTTGTTTCTCCTTGAACAAATTTATTTTGGAAATTTATTTCACCATTATAAAGATTAGAAGGTGAATGAACTTTAAGATAGGGTCTGTGCATTATGTTTTGGGTAACACTTTGCATTATTCTTTAATTCTGTGTATGTATTCCTGTAAAGGTCCAAGTAAAGAATTCAGTAGATGAAGTAATACTTTTGCTTTTAATCAAAGTGTGCTTGTATACAAGGATGGATATAGTGTCTGCTATGTGGGAAGGTTATTTTCCCTTATCAGTCTAATAAGAATGCAACTTTGTTTTTGATACATAACAAGAGTACATTGCAAAAATGAAAATATCAAATAAGTAAAAATTTAAAGTGTCTGCTTGTTATTTTGTTTTTATGTTGAGCATTTGTCTAAGCACCCTTTATTTACTCTCAGTTACTTTAAACTTCGTTTCCCTAACTGAATTGTCTGCCTTTAGCTGTTTGGTGTATATTTCCAATTGACTTCATAAAATATATTTTGAGTTCTGTTCTGTTCACAGGTGCATAGTGTTCCCAAATTTTGGAAATAATAAGTATATTTGACTGCATCTAGCTTGTTTGAGACAGGTGTCACCTTCGTTTTTTTACTGCATTTTGTTAGGACTTCTAGTGATGACTCACAAAAGGGTTGTTTAAAACAGGTGACATCCTTTGTTTTAGTTGTTAGTAAGATCTTTTAGCATTAATTCTTTTCCTAGGAAGAGTTTGTTTTGTGTTTTGTTTTTAAGTACAAGTTTTGAACTACTCATCTTTGCACTACTCTAGATTTATAACGTATCTGAAGTCTAGTATTGAAACAGTATTATTTTACTCAAATAAGGTTAGAAAGAGATAGTTACACTGTGCAAATTTTATTCTTGATAGTGGTTGTACCTATACTATTATCCCAGCCAACTACCATTAGCTAATTGTGATTTTTTTAAGGTAACTTTCTAATTACGTGTTGGATTGCCTCAAAGACTATAAAGTATCAAGGCAAAGTAACAATATTTCTTAATATTGGTTCATTAAAAATAGTTTTGGCATTAAAAAATTAGTAATGTACCTTTTCTTTTTGAAAATTACCATTCTTTTCAAGCTCTAGAACTTGTAATAGGTCATTACATAGCATAATTCTTGCAAAATAATGATAAATATCCATTGAATCAAAAAAGGTTATACAGGTGCATTTTACATACTCAAGAATCAAATTTAAAGTGAAAAGCCAAGGCAGAAAGGAATGGGGTGCAATATGGTTAATACGACAGGTTTATATTTGTTTTTTCAGTACTCCACAAAGAATTTTTTGATATCGTTTGTTTTAAAGTGTTTGAAATGAATACTTTTTATGGGTTAAACATTTTAAAACTAGAACATTTTCTTGACTTCAGGTGCTGCTATGAAATTTATAGTGATCATTTAAAATAAAAATTGTTTTTAAGTATTAATGTTTGAAATACGTATTGAAGTAAATAAAAGAGTATCAACCTATTGATTCCTAAGGTTTATTCTTGTTGTTATGGTTCTATCCTTTTCCTTTTTGTGGGGATTTTATACATCTTATTACAGATGCAGTAGAGGGTGCTGTGCTGTTTGTAACATAAGATTATTACCAATAAAAATGGGAATTGAGTAGGACTTTTATTTTAAAAAGTTTAGTTGCCTGTGCATTCGAGCTCACAATAATGTTTATGTGGACTTTAAAATTTGATACACTGTCTTAATTGGCATTTTGTATCAAAGCCTGTTTATATGTTTCTATAGTGTTCATTAGCACAATGATACCAAGATTAGTACCCTTGACTCAGTCTAATGTCTGACATTGATGTCCAATTCATGTCTAATGTCTAATATCAACATTTGTATGATGTTGTGAATGATTTTTGTGGCTCACATAGTATGATCACATTTTTCA